AGTGTTTTAATCTTAGTACTTTGTAACTTTAATTTTTGTATTCTGTACTATATTTTCTTTCTGTAAGGTTATTTTAGACAGAGCTCCATTCAAACCAGCTTTGCTGAACTGGGCATCTCTGTATAAATATTGTAGTAAGAACATGCGTAATAGGTAAATTACGAGCCTTGTGTGAAACGACTGAAGAAGAGGGCCAATGGGCCTTTCACAACTTCAAGTCGCGTAAAAAATGATCGATTGATAAATAAATAATAATGAAATGGAAGATTAGTAGAGTTTGTTAGGTCTCTCCCTGAATTTGAGGGTTTTTTCCGGATCTCCGGTCTATTCTCTCTCCTCGAAACCTAACACGCTAAATTCCAATTCCATCTGTGAGTTCGGAAGTTAGGAAATTTGAAGGTATTTTTAAAGGAAGGTTCTAGAATCGATGTGGGTCTAAATTATTTTATATTGAACCAAGCTACCGAGTCCCATCTATGTAGACCATCAACATGCACTCGAGCTTAAAATATTACATTAGTCGCCGATCCTTTTTAGCCACATTGAAGGGCGTAATGGATCAATTAATGGACCTACTGGGGCCACATTTATTTTAAGAAATGACAGATATTGAACTGTACTCTAAAAAAACTCCATTTAATAGATATGAATGAAAAAATGAACACTTGTCCATAAAACGACATTAAAAATGGCAGTTTTAATTGTCAAATGCACGCTAACCTAACGAACGCGATAAATAATTGTAATGCGATGTGTGAGTTTGCTGTGGCGGGCCTTTGATCATCCCATAGGTTGTTTCAGGGTATAGAGAAATCTCGAAATTTGAAGGCACGCACCATTGAAAATATAAGATAAAAAAGGGGAAAAGACGAAAAGATATCTGATCTATAGAAAAAAGATAATGATGATTTCAAAATTTTACTCCTCAAGTAACGTTCTTTAAGGGGTTCAAAATTTCACAATCTACGGAAGGACTTGACACATTTCTTTTGAAATTATAATAAAAATAAATAAATATAATAATAAAAAACTCCATTGATTAGCAGTGGAAAAGATTAAACTAACATTAAAAAGGCGAAAATCTTATATCTGAAACTAAAAAAACCACTGAAATTAGGTGGCTTCAAACCACAATTTATTTTTTTCCTCTTAGCCTTGACATTCTACGCATGAGATAAAATCACAGCATAAGAAGCTCTGATAACAACAGGATTATCTCAAAAAAGTTAATGTAAAATTTTGTATGATAACTCACCTGTCCATCACGCCCCCTGAATCTCCACTCCTCCCCCTGTTGGGGGCCAGTGAGTCCAACTCGTCGAAGAATATCACACAAGGACTCGCGCTTTGAGCTCGGGAAAATACATGACGTATATTTTCTTCGCTTTGGCCAACATACATGTTGATAAGCTCGGGCCCCTTGATGCTGGAAAAAAGCAATTATTTATAGAAAAATAGTTTTAGGCCCCGTCCACACTATGCTGGATAAGTTTGAATCCGAATTTTCACACCGAAACCGAAAAAAAAGTTTTCCATCCACACTAATACGGCTAGCCGGCGTTTTCAAATTGTTCCACTCTGGAGACCGTATTCGAAAAAAATCGTTTTCGGTGAAGAATTGCTCCGGATTCGCCCGGACTAATGTGGACGGTAGGCCTAAACGAATAAATAAAAATTCGGATTCAAATTTATCCGGCAAAGTGTGGACGGGGCCTTAGTCTGCAATATTAATGTCAGAAAATCATAGATTTTGAGGCGCGCGATGGGTGATGTTTTGAATTATTTAAAATTATGAGCCGTATAAAAGATTGAGATTGATATTAGTATGCTGTATTGGTACGCTTGACACTGTAGTGCGTTCGAGAACGCAGAGGAATCCTCTTGACCGCGTATCTAGTCTACGTGCATAGTTGGGCAGATTGCTGTATTGGTACGCTTGACACTGTAGTGCGTTCGAGAACGCAGAGGAATCCACTTGACTGCGTATCTAGTCTACGTGCATAGCTGGGCGCAGATGAATAACAAATCAGTGTAAGACAAAAGGATGCATTAAATCTTAATTGTTTATTCCAATGCACAGGTTTTTTTCTGGCTTATGCGCCTCATGCCGTGCAACAAAATTCCTGTGTTCTGCTAAGTTATTCCCAATTCATTAGCAGGTCTTACTGTATATTTCCTTATAATATAAATACTAGTGTTCAAACCAAAACTAGGAAATTTGATTACACTCTTTTAAACTTTTTACCGTGTGAGCCCACTTTAAAAAAAAAAAATAAAGCAAGAGGGAAAATAGCAACAACAATGAACAATGAAACAAAAGCAAACAAACAAAAAAGAAACATCACCACTTCCAACAACAACAACAACAACAAAATGAGACAAAAGCAAAGAAAGATTTTTCGTGCATTACAAAATTTACACTTCACTGCTAGCAGAATCTCCCTCGTTTGCGATTCTTGGCGGAGAAAATGGAAAAAAAATTTTTTTTCAAGAATCGCCAACGAAGGAGACTCTCTAGGGAAAATGTACAGATGCGCACTGAAATATCTTTCATGGTCGGTCAGCGCAAACTTTGTCTTACAGCAGCTTTCGTATGACTGTGAAAAGCTCTCGGCACGAACACGGTTGCGACACGGCAAGGCATACGCCAGACCACATTGCGTGAGAATTTACTTTCCATCCAATAAACTGCCCGGTATACGACATAAACACGGCGCGTAACACGGTCACGTCACGGTCACGGCACTGCCAGACCAATTACATGGCGTGCGAAAAAAACTACCAAATCAAAATTCTAGAAAACATCACAGTCAAGGCAACGCACGCTTACGGCACTGAGTTTTTCACAGTCATGCGAAAACTGCTCTATCATTTTAAATAAGTAGATGTGACTACCTCAAGAAGTTCAGAGAACATTCTGTAGCAACAGCCTTGGCTAGTAGTGTTTTTCCTGTTCCTGGAGGTCCATACAGCAAAACACCTGTGAGAATTTGGAACAAACGTACGCGTCACGTGAAAAGATTATTCTTTTCTGTTAGCTTCGATGCCAAGGTCAAATTCGAGAAAGTTCCAACAATGAAGTCTGGTCGGACCTGTATAAAGCAGGCATCCTTTGCGCACCTTTATATTATCACGGATATCAACTACGTGGGAGATTGGTCGGTAATATTAAATGGTACTTGAAATAAATGAACAAACGTTTATTTATGTTAAATTTTAGTGTGAAGGTCAGGTTCAAGAAAGTTCCACCAAGAAAGTCTGGTTTGACTTGTGTGAAGCGGTGTTTGATTACTTTTGATGATTTTATAACAGTTCAACATTAATGGCAAAAGCGTTGAACCTTGACTCTCAAATGGCTTCCAAATTCTAGCAATCTGATTGGCTCATAGTGCAAGCCAATTGAGAGTCATTTTAAATGATCGTTTGCAGTCACATCCAACGTGCTCAAATGCATAAAGGGTTTCCTCACCTGATCGTCGCAGCCCTGAAGCAAAGAGTTCCGGATGCTGCAAGGGTAATTGGATGGTGTCTAAGAGGTCGGCCTTGGCATCTGCAAGTCCACCAATGTCCTGCCATGACACGCTTGGGATCTTAGGCGCACCAATAGCATCAGAATGTTCACCTTGAATCTCTTCAAGCGCATCTTGCAGATCTTTGAGGATTATTTTTGGGCCACATCTTAGAACATCCTTACAAAGATTATCCATCTCACAGCCTCTATCTTCTATTGTGTTCCGCCAATCATTCTTGTTGTAGCTTTCCAGTCGTGAAAATTCAACAAAAGTACTGTCGTCTCTTAGGCAACCGTAATGGCGGGAAATTCGTTTCGAAGCGACACCAGTGGCTTTTGCGAACAGTGCCACAAAATCAGCTAAGACCAAACCTGCTGTTCTTTTGGACAACACCCCAAAAGATACGTCACCAGCGACACAACTCATTGACGCTAGAGCTTCAAGGATCCGTTTTCTCTCGTTCTCTGAAGGAGTCTTTACTTTAACTTCATGAAGAAAGCATGAATGAACTTGAGCAGACATCTTGGATGATGAGGACGTTGCTATGACGACTACTGGCCAGTTGGAGAGCTTCTGGAGATCTTTGATAGACTGCTGTAGTGTACAAGCAATACGTGGCTCATCTTCGAGTCCATCTCTGTCTTTGGCCAATACGTTGATGTGACGAAACAGCAATATGCATGGACGGCAAGCAATCGCTGAAAAAAGGACCAGAAATATAACTTGTGTGCTATCTAAATATACTCTTTCAGGTTAGCTAAGAATTTCGTTTGGCCAAATTGCAGACAACGATGTCCGTTAACGTATTTTGTTTTCTATTTCGGACCTCATGTCATTCCCTTGAGTATTATTTATTAGTCTTGCTGAAATCGTTTGAAGCAGTCTCATAAAGATTCGAATACAACCCACACCCCAGAATATATTCTTAGCTGCTTGAACATTGAAAAAACTGTAAACAATGTTGAGTGTTTTTATTGTAAATACTGAACGTAGTGGTTGTGTGTGGAGTGAACTTCAAGGGAAAAACCTAACTGTGAGTGATGGTTATAAAATTTTAAAAAGRTAACATTAATCCCCCCCCTTTAGAAAAAGGCAGACAAAACTTTAACTCCTGTGCCTTTGTCCAGCATACCTTTTTGGAAAATATTAGAAATCCTTGCCTCTGTCGCTGCAACAGAATCACCTATGAGGTCGTAACAATTGATGTTCATTGTGAGCAGGCCTAGTTGTCTTCCTATTGCCATGACCATTGTTCTCTTCCCTGCTCCTAGAGGTCCTGTGACAAGAACAGCTGGCATCATCTGCACACTAAACGAAAGACAAGCAAGCAACATGAGGTGGTATGAAGTGTAAGAACTCTGTGAGCCTTCAAAAACYTTCTAATTTTATCGATACTCTGTAACAAGCAAGCAAGGAAACTTACTTCTGTCTTAAGTAGGGTTTGATAATACTTTTCAATCCTTCTGTAGCCACCTCCAGTCCAGGTGGTGTTGGTAGATCCCAATAGCTTGTTTTCACTTTAAGATCCTCTTTGGGATGCAGTACAACATGTACAAAGCTTTGTACAGAAGATGCCTGTTGTATCAAACAAATGAGTCAATATCTACTCACCTAGAGGATAGAGGAGGGGGGATCAGAGTAGGAGTGGTAGCAGCAGAAGTAAGATGAAAAATATTTTAATAGATTGTCTCTATGCTGTACTTAACCTTTGCTAACATATCATTAAGAGCATGTTAAGGTACTGACACACTGTGCAGTGTTGCATGCAATGTTGCACACAACAGGACTGTTGCAGTGTGTCTACCCCAAACTTGTTGCACACAACGTTGCATGAAACAAATCTGAAGTTGAATCGCGCTCTACTCTTGCAACATTGCGTGCAACAAATTTCATCATGTGAACATGGCTGCAACATTACCTGAAACATTTTGAAATTTCCAGCCAATCAGTTTGCACCAAATTTATAACTGCTGACCAAATATCTTAAACATAGCAGGCTGACACAAGAAATGTTGCGTGATTTTGTTTCAATGTGTGTCACCCCAATTCAAATTTGCTGCTTGCAATGTTGCGTGCAATGTTGCAACATGTGTTAGCACCTTTGCACCAATGCATAGGACATACCTGATACACAGTGGTGTGGTCGACATCAACCAAGCAAGGAACTTTTTCACTCTCAGTACATGCAAGCTTCATGACTTTAAAATACACCATACAATTCTCAATTCTCTGACCATCAAGCTCAGATGACAAGGAATACATTGAATCCTTATAACCATCAAACTTAATRCAAAAAATATCTCCTACAGTCAAAACTCTTGGCTTTGAAAAATGTCTTTCCAGGATTTTGTCAAATGCATATCCAGGCCTTGTAAAAACTGTCTGAACAAGAAAAAGTTGTGCTTCTTTAGCATATGGTGGAACACTATCCTGAACAGGCTCATTAGCTTCATCATCGGATACCTTGATGTCTTTCTTTTCAAAAGAATATGGAATAAGCCTCAAAAATAACTCTTTGGGGTCTTGTAAAGGGTTTGAGGAGTTGTTAATAAGATTGAAGTACAACAACGGAGAGACATGGATAATTTGATTGACAGAGTTAGAACTTTGGAACACAGAAATCTGTGGAGATTTTGCATATGCATGTAAAATACTTCCTTGATAGTCTAATGCATATAACTGAGCATAATGATAGACAACTTTCATTTCATTTGGGTTGGTATCTGCAATTTGTTTGTTGGTTGTATGACTAATGCCGTGGGTTAATTGGTTGTCATTTTGACCAGAAACATTAGCTATTTTACCCAGACTTTCATGGATCCATATCTTCACCCAGCTTCCATTCTGTATGCCAATATCCATGAGTGTTGCCAGGGAGACATAAAGACAATGACTGCTATTCATATCATGCTTGCTACCATGGTAACCAGRATCCAAAAATGATTGATGCAAACCCTGCCAACCACTAACTTGAATTTTGAGCTTTGCTGTTTTGCATCTTTTCTGTGGTCTATCACACCATATACCATGTAGAGGTGTGGTAAAATCAGCGACAAGAAGAGAAAGCATGTTGATATTTGTGCTTGAGGCAAATTCATCAAGATCTGTAGTTATTTTAGATGTTTCTGTTTCTGTGCATTTTTCGATTGCCTTGAGCAAGATTAAGTTTGTTTGAGTGTCTATGACACCTTGAGATACCGGCTCACACTTCAAAACATCAAAATTCATCAGACAAATACTGCTGCCATCCTGAGCAATGTTATCTTTAAGTTCGAGTTTCCTTTGTATCGATAAAATATCATTTTCTCTGACTACTCTTCTATTATTTCTAAAATACTCTGACAATTGTGAAACAAGGTTATCTTCAAACTTGTATCCAGGCTTAGTTTTGAGGACGACTTTTGAAAGCACTACAGGAGAAGCTTGTTGTAGCCAAACGTCTTGTCCAGACTTGATTCCGTGTTTTCTTAGAATGTTTGCCCTTAACAGCAGAAACACTGGTCGATCTGGGTTATCATCACCCTCTAAATTATCGTCATTGCTTGGAGTTATACTCAAACGACTGAGTTCGTTCTCTGTAACTGGTTTGTATCGCACGTCCAAAAGTAGACAACGTTCGGGATTACAATTCGTGGCGTTACTTAGATACAAGGTCAACCGATCGTTGCCACAAAATACTTTTCCCTTTGAAGAAACGATACCATCAACTTTAAAGCTGTCTTGACCATAAAGAGAAGAGAATTGAGATGAAGAAATACTGAAGACTTTGGCAAGAACCTTCCTGTCGTCCGCCATCTTGATTTGTGGGAAGCCTGGTAACAGGCACAGGGAGCCCACGCTCACTTTTTGTGTGTGTCAGGATAATATAGTACAAAAATGATTAAAAATACATAAAAATACATAAAAATTATAGAAACTTCTCAAAGTCTTAGAAAAAATAGCGATTTTTTTATCAACCATATTATACAATTATGTTTTTATAACAGGACATTTTAAGAAGCAAGCTTGGGCTCCCTATGTAGACCTGGTCACTTGGTCATTGCATAATGAGGGAGATTTAAAAGGCACATGGCACAACTTAAAAATATTGTTTTTCTACTTTAACCATTAAGTTGGAATGGAAAATAAGATCCAGGACTTAGAGGAACCATTGCTAAAGCACAATCCAAACAGATTCGTATTGTTTCCAATCCAGTACCCAGATTTTTGGCGTTTTTATAAAAAAGCTCTAGCTTCAATCTGGACTGTTGAAGAAGTTGACCTCAGTAAAGATTGGAATGATTGGGAAAAACTAACAAATGCTGAAAAGGATTTTTTGTCCAAGGTTTTGGCATTTTTCGCAGTCAGCGATGGGATAGTCGGAGAGAACCTTGTGGAGCGGTTTTGCCAAGAAGTACAAATCCAAGAAGCGAGGTGTTTCTATGGTTTTCAAGTGACAATGGAAAACATTCATGCAGAGATGTACAGCCTTCTGATAGACACTTATATTCGCGATAAAGAGGAAAAACATAAGCTTTTTAATGCTATAGATACATTTCCTTGTGTTAGTAAAAAGGCTGAATGGGCTGTGAAGTGGATCAAGTCCAATACAGCTTCATTTGGAGAGAGACTTGTAGCCTTCGCTGCTGTCGAGGGGATTTTCTTCTCCGGGGCGTTTGCTGCTATTTTTTGGTTCAAAAAGCGTGGTTTACTACCAGGCTTAACTTACTCTAACGAACTAATAAGCCGTGATGAAGGTCTTCATTGTGACTTTGCTTGTTTAGTGTTTTCATATCTGAACAACAAGCCTCAACCAACGACAATTGTGGAAATTATTCGTGAAGCTGTTGATGTCGAGAAGGCATTTTGGGTAGATGCTCTGCCTTGCCACCTCTTGGGAATGAACTGTAATCTCATGGTACAGTATATTGAGTTTGTAGCTGACAGACTTCTGGTAGCTTTGGGACTGAATAAGTTTTACAATGCCAGTAACCCATTCCCGTTTATGGAAAATATCTCACTGGAAGGAAAAGCAAACTTCTTTGAGAAAAGAGTTGCAGAATATCAGAAAAATGGAGTAATGAACAAAAATAACAAGCATTTTCACTTTTCTTTGAATGAAGATTTCTGAACTTCCAAGTCTTGAAGAAACTATTTTTTGTTTCACTTAGAAGTCAGATTTTTTAAGCAATAAGGCTTTGTATACTGTTATATCAAGCTAAAGTGTGATATAGATCATGAAAAAATATTTACATTTTTGGACTGAATTTATATTTTGAATTTCTGTCTGAGGAATCTATTTATATTTTTTTATTATTACAAAGTATGAAATATAAATTTTCAGGAGTAACATTTTTCTGGCTATACCACAGTACTGCCTTTGATTCTAAAAAAAAGAATTTAATACAAATATTTAGTAAAAAAAAATAAAGTAAAATAAAACGTTTTTTGGATTCCTGTGTTAGACTGCCCAATCCCTCACGGTCATGTTAGTGTTCAAAATGGCGGGAGGTTTAGATTCTCAGCACAAGTTATTACAAATCAAAGAAAAGTTGAGGTTTGCTACTACCTCGTTACAAAACTGCTTGAATTTTTCTCACGACTGCAAGTATTTGAGTTTGCTGTGTGACTTTGGAGAAGCGATAATTATAAAAATAGAGGGTGAGTTAGAAAAAATGTCTTTTGAAAATCTCTTTAAATCTTCACACTCGCGTCTCCCAGACTCCCAAAGAAGTTGTTTGTGTTGTTTGGTTCCTCTTGCTTACACTTCTCAAAGACATAGAAGCATTCCATAGAATTTTAAGGTCAATTCCTGAAAGTCCAACGTTTTGTGGAGGACACGTTTCTAACTTAGCCCATGCCATCCCCACATTTCTCATTTTCTTGTATAGTCTGTATAGCCAATTAAAATTAAGTCACCTTTCGTTTATGTGGCTATATGTAATGGCTATTTGAGACTTCTGCAACAGAAAAAAAATTTCAGTGACTTCATAGAAAAAGAAAGTCTTTTTTCATTCTTGCATTGTTCTTTCTCTCTTGGCTAGAGTCAAATATTTCAACTTCGCTTCAAGGTATTATTTACAAGAAGCTTGAGCATGGTAATGGAGAAACCTTAGAAGGACAGTCATGGTCACCAGATGATGGCATCTATGCTGTACTTGGAAATAAAGCTTATCTGTATCAGGTGAATATTACAGAAGTGGTTCAATATAACATGATTAATGGCTGGCACTTTCCTTGACATGCACAGTCCACCACCCCACCCCACCTTAACCTTTCCCATGCCATTACTAAGGTGAGATATGATAGTCACACCCAGAAAAACGTCACATACTCCACATATCACTTTTTTAGGTTCATAATGACTTCAGCCTATTTCATGCCATTCCGTTGTACTATATACCAAAAGATATTGCCATATCAACTACTTTAACAGGAGAGCCGAAAACCCAACTTAAGGTAATGTGAGAAGAGAATTAGTCTCCTAGCTGTTCTTAGTGTCATCACACAACACTCACTCCCCTAAGCTACTTAGGGAAGTTGGCGTTGCGTGACAACACTAATAGCAGCTGCAGGAGACTAGGAGAGAATTATCTCAGTTGAAATGTTGAAGAGTAAGAGATCCAGAAAACCTTCCCAAATTGTGATGGGTAGCCTGGGCAGTCTTTATAAGGGAAGGGGAGCAGCTAACTATAGGGAACTTCTGTATGCACTGAACACATGTTACTGATGGGAGCTGAACTTTGAAGTATTCATGAAGTAGATCCATTTTAATGGATGCCTGATTATTACAGACTCTCTGTTTTATGGACACATTTTGTTTACACTCATTACTAGTTTAAGCCATACACTGTTGCTATGAGCTTGACCATGTTCTTGTTGTTTATATTGTATACCCTTAGAAATAAAATACATAAAATATTTAATTGTCTTTTTAGTACAAAACAGTTATTGCTGGGCCAAATGGAGTTGAAATGTATGACTTGGAAGTAAACAATTCTAGCATCATTGTGGTTAGTCGACTCTGTTTCCTTACAATTATTTTTAAGTATTACTTGTGTATTACTACCAAAATAACTTAAAGAGCAATTTTTAAGTGGTTTTTCCTATTTTGTTGGGCTACCTGTGGATTATGCAGGAATTAGGGCACCAAAACATGTGTGCTTGCCTCTCAAGCACTAAGGTACTCTTACTATGCTGCTGCTTTATTGTTATCTGATTGGTGGTATTGAGTTCTTATGTAGTTTTACTTTGATTTCATTGTACAGAAACAAGGTCTTCATCTCCATGCAGACCTTGCTATTGTTTTAGTGGATTTTTCACCTGACCTACAGTACCTTGCAGTAGTGAGTATAGCATTGTTTATAATGTCAATAACACATTTGGTAGCTTATTAACTGCAAGACTTTTTATCCAGGCTGCACTGGATTGCCACTTTGGAATATGGAATGTTCAAAGTCTTGAAGGAGAGAAGAAAGGTAAATAGACTTCTTTGGGGGGTTGATAAATGGAAAAAGCAATGAATACGATTGATGATCAGAGTGAATGGGAGGGAGGGAGGGAGGGAGGGAGGGAGAGATGAATGGATGGATGGATGGATGGATGGATGGATGGATGGATGGATATCTTGATTGCGAAGGAAAGACAATTCATTAGTATTGTGAGCTGTAGTTGTATGAATGAACAAATCACATCTGAAACACTAAATGGATTAACTTTATGCCATTCGTTTTTACTCTTTCTTTCTCCAGACTTCTGGTATAAACATTTGAGTACTGTCAGAATAACAAACATGGCATTTTCTCATGACAGTCAAAGTATTGCTGTTGCATGCTGGGATGGTGTCTGTTACATTTATACCAAAGTAAGTCTGCAATATAATTAGAATAATTATTTGGCATTTAAGGGTGGAAAAGCAGTAGTCCATTTGCCTCTCGCACTGGGGTCTCTGGTTTGATTCCCAGACATGGCATCACATATGAGTAGAGTTTGTTAGGTCTTTCCCTTGATTTGGGGGTTTTCCAGAGGCTCTTTGCTTTTTCTCTCTCTGTCAATAAACTGTGCCCTGACTTTAATCAGCCCAGAGGTTGTTCCAGGGTTTGATCTGTGAATTGGCCATGCCCTGACTTAGATCAGTCCAGAGGTTGTTTCAGGGTTTGATCTGTGAGTTAGCCATGCCCTGACTTTGATCAGTCCAGAGGTTGTTTCAGGGTTTGATCTGTTAGTTAGCTGGGTTTGCCCTGACTTTGATCAGCCCAGAGGTTGTTTCAGGGTATCAACAGAAAATATTTTTAAAAAGCAACTATATCCTGTACTATTCAGACCAATCCTCCAAGGAGGAGAATATGGATATTTTTCTACATGTTGAATAATGAACTGCATTGATTGCAGTCTCAGCCAAGCACACAAGAAAGCAAGACCTCGTGCCAGTGGATTCAGTGTAATCACATTTTACAGTCTTCAGGTGAAAGAGTTTGTGGCTTGTTGACAGGGTCTTTGGTTTGTTGGGCACCAGACTCCATGTCAGTGAGGTAAGACATGCAAACTTATCAATAAAAGTATTATCTTGTCTGCCCTCCATCATTACTGCAGAATCAGCTGTGTCTAAGATAGTCTGTTACTAAAAACACCCATACTGTCCTTTACTATCAACAAAACGACTCTTTACACACCCTTCCCTACCCCCCTCCACCCCAAATGGCCTACATTTCCCCCCTAATATTCTTAAAAAACAGCTGGTATCTTACTCCTTTTTACCACCAACAAAAAATGGACTTCCCCTTTCCTCCCTCATAAATTTGTTTAAAAAATGTTGAAATTTCATTTTTACAATGGGCTGATCAATTCAATCTGATTCTGTTTCGTTTATGGAATGAGGTCAAGGCCACAGGTTTGTGGAGAAAATCCCTTAAATCAAGGGAGAAATTCTTCTCACTCACGTGGTGCTAATGTATTGTGCTAATGTATGGTGCTAAATATGCTTTTTTCTCATTTATGCTACATAGGTTTTCATTTGCAAATGAAGAGGGCTCATGGTTGAATACCCTTGATGTGAAAGATGGAAAAAGTTGGACTGAAAAAATTGCTGAAAAGGGTGTTGAAGTGAAGGGAATAAACACCTTAAGGTATATTCACAGCAGACTTGCAATTCAGTCAATTTGAAGAAATTCTTCATATGCATTTTCTTTATTTTGTTTTTTTTTTCTATTGCAAAAGACTTCACTAGTTTGAAAGTGTCTGCTGAAAATATAGCAACACTTGTACACTTTCACTAGAAATTGTGGTGGTTGTGTACAAAGTTGTGAAAAATAAGTGACATGGTTTACATTTAATTACAGTAACTTCTGTTGAACTTGAATTTCAAATTCGACTTCTTTTTCAGTTGTCAGGCAGGAGACTTCTCTGTATGTTATCTAAGTTCACAGCAACTTCTATTAAGTAGATGGGCCTTTAAGGACAAAAAAGGTAAATGACAAACAGAATAATACTGTGACTCTCTTAAGCAGAGCCCTTAGTAGGCAGACAACCTTCATTAAACTGACAGCTAGTTACACTGACTTGAAATTTAGAACTTCCTGAAGGTTTTTATGCAATATAATAATTATTTTTCGGTTTAGTACTCTTTCAAAAACTTCAGAAATCCCTGATCGCTATTGCCCCTTGCAGCACATCGGAATGCAGCTCACTGATTTGGAGGACATAACAATAGGATTCCAATTCTCAGGAGTTTGCAATTCTTTTGTTTTGTCCTCCAAATTGAGCTGCTTTGAACGTCACATGCCCGGGGGGGGGGGTTTAACATGCAAGGGGTATATCGCCACCGTTCTATCCTTTTTCCTATTCTTATTCATATAAATACCTGTCTTATACACCTAGTGTTGAATAAGACCTTTTATGCAATTTTTAACCAGTAATATCAAGTAAAAATCACGACAATCCAAGAGAGGTTCTTTTATACGAAGACCTGATGTGTTCCGTGTGGCTTGTCCCTGAAGATCCCAAACACTTCACTGGGATGACACTGAGATGGTGTTGCTATAGTGACGAAGACCTGGAACAAGTTAAAAACCTTTGTGAAATGTTATCTGTGAATTGTAGTAACGATGAACAAAAATTTAGGAGTGGGGTATCGCTTGATGCTCGACCTGCTGAGAAATGTTTGTGGGATGCAATTAAAACAAGAGGAAAAAAGGATAATGCAAAAGGAGAAGATTCCTTATCATCATCTACATTACCACCACCAGCATCAACATCATCATCATCTTCACCGCCATCATCATCATCTTTTACACCTCTACTACCACAGTCATCATTATTACCATCATCATCATCATCTTCTTCTACACCTCCACTACCACAATCATCATTATTCCCGCCATCATCATCATTATCATCATCCAATTGTACTGTCAATGTACCATTTTACGAACCTTCAACACTACTATCCAGCCTCTCGGTCTCCAATCCAGGACATTTTGTATTGGCGTCGAGAATGGTGGTGGTGCTAGTAGTGTTACCATCGATAGCGTATGTTTATTATCAGAAGAACAAAGAATGGAAGAGCGTAGTGTTTAGGGACGCTGTTACCAGGTGCTGTCTAGTGCAAGGTAAGTTTTTCACTCTTTTTAGGGAATCAGCAAGCTTTTTCCAAATTTTCTGGGATAAACATGAAACATGGGTCTCAAGAGTGCCCTTGATGGACAATTCCATTAAGGTTGGGGTCTGGGGTTCTATTCCTGGACTCTGCATCACATGTGCATGAGTAGTGTTCGGTTTTTCCTTTGATTCTAGGATTCTTTGGTTTTTCTCTCTCTGCAAAACTTAACACGCTAAACTCCCGAATTCGATCTGCGAGTTAGCCGTGCCCTGATTTTGATCAGCGCAGAGGTTGTTTCAGGGTTCCGCGCCAGATCTGTAAGTTAGCCATGTCTGATTTAGATCAGCCCAGAGGTTGTTTCAGGGTTCGAGCTGTGACTTAGTCATGCCCTGACTTAGATCAGCCCAGAGGTTGTTTCAGGGTTCGAGCTGTGACTTAGCCATGCCCTGACTTAGATCAGCCCAGAGGTGGTTTCAGGGTTGGATCTGTGAGTTAGCCGTGCCCTGACTTAGATCAGCCCAGAGGTTGTTTCAGGGTTGGATCTGTGAGTTAGTCATGCCCTGACTTAGATCAGCCCAGAGGTTGTTTCAGGGTTGGATCTGTGAGTTAGTCATGCCCTGACTTNTTCAGGGTTGGATCTGTGAGTTAGTCATGCCCTGACTTAGATCAGCCCAGAGGTTGTTTCAGGGTTGGATCTGTGAGTTAGTCATGCCCTGACTTTGATTAGCCCAGAGGTTGTTATTAGTTTTTCACGTCATTTCTTTGTAGAGAATATCTTGGTGACCTTGAGTGCTAATGGGAACTTGGGTGCTTGGCATTTGACAAAGAATAGTAGTTTTACTTGTTTGGATTCACTCCTGATCCAAGGTTTACAAACAGAAAGGTACTTAAAAACACAGCGTATAGACTCCTTACAGCACGTCCGAATACAGCTCAATTTGGAGGACATTGTAGGTTTCCAAATCTCAGGAGATGGAATTTTGGTTTGTTTTGTCCTCCAAATTGAGCTGCTTTGACGTCACACACAAGGGGTTTATTGCAGAACTCGAGTCCAGCGCAAAAACGCGGCAGAAAAACCTTTCGCACATTCAAAAAACCATCAGATTGGTATCGATGCAACTGCTTATAGCATGCTAATTCTTGTTTGTTTTTGGTAGGGCGTTTGTTGTGGGGGATGTATTTGAACCTCTGGTCCTCGTGTTTGATGTTGACACACAAGGAGAACAAAGAGTGGCACATGTATCGTTGCAAGGTACAAATGTATATCCAAGAGATTTCTTCCAAGCGCAGAAATGCCGTCATGCTCAAATGGTTCGGAGGACTGCGATTGGATAGATTCTTTTCCTTTCTTTCCTTTCTTTTAGCTCAAAACATGTCCACCATGTTGACGGATTCTTCAAAAAAATCTTGATTATTTTTCATATTCTTCAAAGGTGATACATTAGCTCTTGCTAAAAGAGAAATAGTGTGTATGCCAACACCGCCGTTGACATTCTGCAGTTCAATGCTTGGAGTCTGCGTCTTCTTCACTAAAGAAAACAACTCGTATAGCGTGCTTATTCCAGGTTAGGTGTAAGTGTGTTTTTTCTGTTTACTTAAGCTTTCTTTCAATAAACATGGTTAGAATAGAGAATTTGTTTCGTTTTGTTCGTTCCCTGAAACAGCCCCACAATGCATTGGAATGCCAACTCGACCCAGTTTTTTCCTCAACCCCGGGACGCGTCTGCCACTAAAACTTGGCGGGAAACAGACGCGTACACTATTTAAGTTTTGGCAGGAAGCAAATCCTAATATTATGATACTGGAATAGTTACGTGGTAAATATATCGTACTCTTATTTAATGAAAACTTCAATCCATATATTAATACTTATTACCTGTTTTTTTGTTGTTTTCAGAGCTAAGTATAACTTATGATATTGCGTACGATGAACGGTATACCTCGTTATTTCAATGTATAATGGAAAACAAGAAAAAGCTTCTGGATTTTGTCATCGAAAACCAACAGAGCTAGCAGTTACACAGGTAAAATACTTCCTTTCTAAAAATAATTCTGTTGAAGGGGAAAACAGCTACACCTTTTTGCTTCGTGTTTAATATTTAACGATTTCAAAGGAAGTACYGATCATTCCTTTAAAATTAACGGGACGAAACTTATATAATACTATTTCTAAAACCGGTAAAAACACAACGCCAAAATTATTCAGTGTTTTTGGTGGCTCAAAAATCTTCTTTAGCATCAGTAAACTTTAATGTATTACGAACTTTTATTCAAATATACATATGTACATTTTTGAAACCAAAAGCACAATCCCTTCATGAAAAAAAGATAAGATAAAAACAGCTAGTTTTTTTCAATCAAAAAAGAGCGAATAATATTAAAACTGTACATATTATGTTATTTAGCTTGCTGTGTACACAGGCTACCCAATCACTATAAATGTATGTACTAATCTAGGATTGTATATCGATCTTGAATAATAAGAATCACAATTGAGGTCATGGATCAATTACTAAGACTCAAAAAATTATGTAATTCTCGCAATGGTTTATGGCACATTCCATGTTATAATGAACAAACTCAGTAATATAGTACATTTAAATGACGTCATGTAATACTAGGGCACACCCAGTAATATAGTACATTTGAATGACATCATGTCATACTAGGGCACACCCAAAAATATAGTACATTTGAATGACGTCATTCTACTAGGGCACACCCCGTAATGTAGTACATTTGAATGATGTCAAGTGTAAAATAGAGCACTCTTAGTAATATAGTCAATTGAAAGATGTTGTTATACTATGGCACACCCAGTAATATAGTACATTTTAATGACGTCATGTTATACTAGGGCACAACCAGTAATATAGTACATTTGAATGACGTCACGTTTAAAATAGGGCACACTTAGTAATATAGTCAGTTGAATGATGTCATGTAATAATAGGGCACACCCAGTAATGCATGACGCATTTCACTCCATTGAGCGAACCAGGATTGAATAACCGCGAAGATCCCTTGCAATGACAGGTATAGACTCTTATACCCCTTGTAGGGTGCAACTCGCTGTAAAACTCTGCTTCTTCTCCGTACCTTGTGGTACATGCTACACCAGTGATCTTCCAGCCCTGCCATCATGAATTTAAATAAATGAATAAATTAAAATTAAAATCAAAAAAACAAGCGCGGCGAGAAGATAAATAAATGCAGTAAAACGTGTGCTCTCATAAAGCACGCGCTCCTGTGTTTTATAACAGTTATTTTATAACGAGAAATATTTAACTTGTTTTCATGCACTAACCGGGATCGAGTTGTCCAGTAGACGTGTCAAACTATTCGTCGTCTCCCCAGCCGCATGAGTTGTAGCTGTTTGTTCTCTATGTTCACAAAGAGTCAGATTTCCAGTCCCCGTCTCCCCCTTTGGACCGGGTGGTCCTGGGGGTCCTTGAGGTCCGGGTGTTTGATCCGATCCATTTCGACCCGGGGGTCCTGGTATACCCTGTGATCCTGGTATACACTGTGATCCGTTATATCCCATAGGACCTCGTACTCCGGGTATTCCTGTTGGGCCGGGTAGTCCTGGTCGACCCGGGGGTCCTGGTATACCCTGTGAGCCGTTATATCCCATAGGACCCCGTACTCCCGGTACTCCTGTTAAACCGGCTAGTCCTGGAGTACCTTTTTGCCCTCGAGGTCCTATAGGGCCTGTTATTCCTCGTATTCCTCTAGGACCATGTGGCCCTGGAGCACCGGACGAGCCTTGAGGACCGGGTGGGCCCGGGGGTCCTGGTGGCCCAGGGTCACCCTTTTCTTTTGATATCAAAGCCTAAATAAATGATGAGATAAAGTATGTTTTAATATTTACGTAGAAAAGCTAAGAAGGCTCGCAAATTATTGATTATTAACTCTACCGATCCCAATCAAAAGAGCGCTCCTTATTTATGCCAAAATAGCTGACTAATCTGTTTGGGGTGTTTTATTTTAATCGGTCCCTTTTACCGCTAATCAAATTGACCTTTTTGCAAATGATTTTTTTAGAAATTCTACTGGTCTCCACCAATCAGAGCGAGCGTTAGACTGTATTTACTGACCTGGGTAGAAGTTTTTATTGTGTTGACTCCCTTCTCCAGCTCTGTGATGGTGTTAACAATATCTTGTATTTTAGTTAGATTAGCTGTTGACACAAGCATAAAATGGTGATTTTGCGTCTCGTTTTTTATTCTTTGCGCTTTACGTTAAGTTTACTGGAATTAATATATTGCCGGCAACGTTGTTTTGGGTTTTTCTCTACCTCACAAAAAATCAACAAAGAGACTGAATTGAAATAGTTTCTTTTCCGAACCAACCTGATAATTAAGCTTGTAAACAGTAAGCGCACTGATTCCGTTCAATCACAATAGGGAATTAACGGCAACGGAACATTGAAATGGTTTCTGCTTTTAACCAATCATCAAGCTCGTAAGTGCATTCCACCCAATCACAATAGGGAATTAACGACAACGGAACATTGAAATGGTTTCTGGTCTTAACCAATCATTGAGATTGTAAGCGCATTCCGTCCGATAATGATAGGGAATTAACGGCAACAGAAAATCAAAAAGGTTTCTGGTCTTAACCAATCATTGACATCGTAACAGAACATTGAAATGATTTCAACAGCGAACTAAACAATCCCGGTCTAATTTTGCGTGAGGTTGCGTTGATGGCGTTCAAGAAGAGAAGTACGTTCGTGTTTTATTGGTTTAGCCGCGTTAACCGGCTTAATTGAGTAGGAAATACTTAAGCCAGAATGTAGAGTAATATCTGAGGAAATGGGCGGTAATGACAACAGATAAATACACTGAAGGTTTTATCAAATTACAAAAATGACTTCGATATGTTATTTTTCATCACAATCACTTTAATATAACACTGATCCCCTGATGAACACGCCATCGTGTCTGTTTCTGTAAATCTTCATGGTGTCTTGCTCAAGATATTCAATAGTTCTATCGCTAGTTTTTACACTAACCTAACACTGATTTTTGTGATTTTGACTGTACAAGTACTTTACATTGATAATAAGAACGTTGAGCTTTTCCGACATCAATGCACGGTGTCGTTTCSATAGTCGTTGTCTGCATAATTTCAGGACACTTATTTTTCTTATCTTAGACTCTAGTTATCTATATAAACTATTGTTTCAAGCTACGGTTTCAAGGATAGATCGAGAGGGGGGGGGGGGGGGGGGGGGGGGGGGGGGTCTCTAATCTCGATATTTAGCTTCACATGGTATTTCTATTAGTGCGTCTGAGAAACAATTTTGCGCCCTTTAGAAATCAAAGCACTTTCAGTGTCACTAGTAAAAGAATCTTACCTTTAGAGCTACTTGAATCGCGACATCCACAAGACACATGAAGATGAAGTGTAAATATCAAATTCGCCACACAAAAGCAAAGCAGTACAATTACCAGCGATACTAACAAGCAATAATCCTTAGACCTTGTCACACGCTTATTCGGTGCCAATTCTTGTGGCTTCACTCTTACGTCTATTTGAGATAGAGTTCCTTGTGATTTATTCTGTTCGTTTGAGAGCTGAAATCTCGAGGTATTCTGGGAGTTAAGAGTCTCTTGTGCCTGAGCTTCTGGCTGTGTCCTCTCATGGAATTCTAAACTCGTATTTACTGCAGATACTGAGATTTTGTTAGATTTCGCCGGCCCTCGGAACATCGCGGTTGCACCCTCAATCTTAGGATACATGCATTTGCTTACCCAGAACAGGCTAATTGGAGAATAAATAGTTAGTTATCCAGAAAACGAACAGTGTTTACGTTCGTGGTTTTCGTGGGGCAGTTTGGTTGCTTGAGATATAAACACTATTAGACATTGACACGCAAAAGCTTGTCTTGTGCTATGATGATATTAATTTTACAAGTATCAAACATCTGGATATCAGCTATCCTCTTACACAAACAATGAAAGGTACTGCCAAGGTCAGGTTTCTCGTTGTGTTTTTACAATGGAAGAAATTGTGTTGTTGTCAACACTAATTTAAATGCCTCAGGGGTCCTAGACTTTAGGGTCAAAGTACTAAGGAGATGCTTACGAGATAATAATAACTATAGGAAATCGTGGACTTTTAAAACAAGGTTTATTCTCTTGAGTGCGATTTCTTTTTTCGCTAGTAAGGCTTTAGTCTATGGAAAAAAAGTTGAACAAAAATATCAATGTCACCGGTAAGGAAAGTGGTCTGAAATATTACGCCCAATTTTAAGTTGAGTGGATCTTGCTGAGGGCTAAAGTCCGATTCGGAAATATTTTATTGGCATGTATAGTATGGTGTGGATAGAAAGTCAACAGGCTGACACTTTCCTGTATTGATTGTGTATTGTAAACCTAAACAAGACATCATGCGAACGTGCGACACTCAAAAGAAACCAAGACCCTTTTTTCCCGCGCTAAAAGCCACGCGCGAAATTCCCCCGTGCTAGTTTTTCACTGCTACCTTGGTCGTTTACTATTGGTCGAGAGGGGAAGGGATTGACGTAAAGGGAATGTCAATCGACTAGTGCATGAATTATGATATTAAATAATCAGGTTTTTTAATATATAAACTTTGAAAAAAATTGGTCTTCGAGACTAGTATTGCATTGCTATTTTGAATCGATCATCGAATTATTAATAATAGTTTACAATCTCTTTTCTTTCCCAAACGAAAAGCGTCATACCATGCATTAAGGAACCTTACTGGTTTCCCGCGTCGATAATTTTGACTTCAGTCCAATTTCTATTTATAAATCTTTTGTTTTACAGTCGGACCGTCGGTTTCACATTACTTTTCACGACAGGGTTCCGAACTATGTTCCGAACTTAGTTCATAAGAAACTTCGTTTTGAAGTTCCGAAGTTGTTCGCCAGCCTTGGGAATTTCCGGAAATAGCTCGAAACCCGATCGTGAAAAGTAATTTCAAACTTACTGGAAATATTCTATTATTTATTGGTAATAATAATTTTAGAGCGCTGAATAATTATATTTGTAATGTTTCACCAAATTTTTCTTGCACTATTTGAATAGAACAGTCACGTGCTTGTTTAGTTTAAATTCTATATTTTCGCTGATAACCCATAATGCTTTGCGCCTTTGGAGTAACCGGTTCTTCAATCAGATGTTTCTTATAACTGGATTTATCATGAAAATATCAATTGTCAGTTCATTTTGAGTTAAATTTGCGCGTTCGGAACATCAAGGGGCTTTGTAGATAGTCGTTAGGTGCATCGTGGGCATTGCCAATATGACATATAGCACTTCATAGTACTCGATATTTGTTTGTAAGACGAGTCACCGTAGCACGAACAGGAATATTTTCGAACTCCACTAGTTTCTACATACTCCATCATGACCAATGCGGCACGGTCTGTGTAACAATATACACCCATGATGCGCTTGTCCTGTCAATGAATAAGAACAAGAACAAGAATGAGAATGGGAATAAGGATAAGGATAAGAATAAGAATGATGATGATGATGATGTTAATAATTTATTGATGGCTTTTCTACATAGCAGCTCTACATTCATCAAAACATTCGTCAATTCGTCAATTAAGAAACATCGCGATTGTCAGCTTACCTATTACAGACAATCATGTAGTGGTGCACTGATAGATTTTCTGATAGATTTTCTGATTTTACAGATAGCTGTACTTACGACTGGCTCAGCAATGTATACATAGTTTGAAGCAGATGGTCCTGGGGTGGACGAAGGACTGGCAATATTCTTATGCTCGCATTGTGATAGGTTCCCAGCTCCTGCAGGGCCCTGTATTCCTTGGGGGCCAGGAGAGCCCTGGGAACCATTTAATCCCGAAGGTCCTTGAAGGCCCTTCGTCCCATTAAGTCCCTGAGGTCCCTGTGTTCCGTTATAACCACGTGGACCCATTGGACCACTTATCTTGGAGATATTCTCTACCTGAAATAATTGATATAGTAATTAACAACTATGTTAAGAAAAAAATATACAACTTGATTTTGTTGTACCACTGCTGTTCCCATGGGAACACTGTCTTCGGGCACGGCCCCAACGCATTCAACACGTGTTGTAGTTTCTACGTGTTCTGATACAGTAGGTACCCTGATGGGATATCTTTATCAAAAAAATGGCGCCATCTCATAAATACCATTTTTCGTACCTTATCAGAAAGGGTCTTGTTCATCTCCTTAATGCTGTGATAAAGGCCCTTATCGGCTGTTCGCAGCTCTTGAGAAGTCGTGTTTATCTAAAAGAAACCAGACGTCCTTGCCTCAAAAAAGGTTTTCAAACTCTGATAAATGTGGTCCTCAATAGAAGTGTGAATCTTATTTTTACCTTTTGCACGACATCTTGGTACTGAAGCATGACYTTGTCATTTATAGACAACCAAATCTTGTTTATCGATGCCTCTGACTAAATGAAAAGAAAAATAAGCAAAACTTGAGCAAGCCATTTCAGTGTGACGTCATCTCGKTTACCGGAAGTACACATGTATCAATGGGAGCCCAACATATTACGTCATCTTACTTGGTTCAATCTTCTGTCCATCGAGTTTTCTAGCTTCGTCATATCAGCAACGACCTTGTCGAGCTTCTTAGACGTTTCGTTTGCCTTTGATAAAAGAAGTAATCAATCTGMAACACTCTCGTTGTACTTCACTTAATGTTGCCTTTCTCTGTTTTGTCTATTTATTCCCATTTTCATTTAAAAAACCACAATTTCTTAAATATTGTCAGATGAAATTCCTACCTTTTCTTCCACACCAAGCCTACTTGCTCGTTCTATTTCTAGTCTGGTATTAGTCGAGTTCAGTTTYATCTCTAAGTTCTTCCAATCCTCTYCTGGYGYATTACTGTTGTTTGTCGTGGTCTTYAAGTGTTCTATCSWCTGGAGCGCAGAGTTTAGTTTAGTTTGGATGTCCCTCGTTGTATTAAGCTGTTGGACCTACAAATACAACTATTAAAATYTAAATAGATGCCTTTCRAAATTGGGAGCAACGAAAACAAGGCAATCATATATAAGAAATGACACCATTTCTTGATAACAATTTTCCATTTCGCTCGTTTACGTTTTCATAAAAGCTTTGGCATCTAATTTTGAAAGTGGTCTGTAGTACAGTTTCTTTTGCAGTCTTGATCGTACACACATGCACCAAGCTCATGTTTTTTCTGGTATTCATATTGTCAGCTTCTATAAAAGTGTATTTCCAGTGTAGTTCTTATCCTTCTGCGCGGCCATTGCTAGCCGTGTCTGRGAGGAGGTGTGGACACGAAAAAGACTACATGGGCATGATCCCATAGAATTTCCATGACAACAATTCTGACGTGTTCTTAAAAACACCACTTACCATGTTTGTCTGCAGGAGGGTGATGTTTTCCTTCATTCTCGCTATTTCGTCTTCAATTGGCTGTAGTGACATAACTGACCTGGTGCCTGTAGATTGTTGCTTTSCTCCTGTTACAGACCAATCAAAACAGCTGAGAAATACTTGGTGAAAGTAAATAAATCTGAGGTTGCCACAATTTCACCCAAACAAAAGGGTAGAAAGTCATGGCTATGTTTGTTTTGCGTGATTCCCTCAATAGAAAAGATGGCGTGCCTCAACAGTAAAATGGCTTTCCCATGCGATATAATGAATAAATTGGGATTTAAAGCRGTTGCAAAGTTTGGCTCTTCTTCAACTGAATCCAATTTGAATTCAAAAGAGTCGATTTTTGCGGAGGGCGGAAAATCGAAGAGCTCGTAGAAAAACCCTCGAAGCACAGCAAAGAACCAAAAAGCAGCTCTACTCATATACGACAGCAAGGCCGGGACTCAAACTTGGGTCACATTGGTAAGAGGCGGCGCATTCATGAGCCTCGCACACTACCACCTTGGTATATGCTGTAACATAAATTTGGCATCCCATGGCTTTCCATTTACAAGAAACAGCAAAGCACGATATTGAAAGCTTTAATCAAATCGCTCTATTAGTTAATGTGGTGGAATTTTGTTTGTTATGTCGCCGACACAATCCAGGGTTAAGTCGGACAGCTAGGAAGATTACTTAAATGATTACAAACACAACTCGAAACAGATCTATAGTCATTTGGTAAAATATGCAACCCAGCTTCTGAAAAACGCTCTAAAAAAATGACAAACTACATTAATTATCAAGAAAACCCAGAAAAAGTATCCATAACTTTCAGTTTTTAGTTGAGTTCTTTACTAAGGCAGAGATTTTCAATTTTTAAGACATCATATCAAACATATTAACAACCTTGAAGAGGTAATGTTTGATTTAGTAATCTTTGATGGTTTTGTTTCAGTGTTTAAGTTATTGAGAGATTAGCTGCGCTACACTTGATTAAAAATCCTAATCCTAAAAAGATTTCGACTCTTATTAATGAAATGTTTTTGTCAGCAGCTTCAAGTAATTCGCCTGTCTTGGCTTGATATTCTCTTATGATAATAAAGTTTTGTATTATTTTTATCGCTATCAAGTTTGTTATTACTGATCGTTTTTAGCCAGTGAGGTATTTTCGGTGTAACAAGATGTTGTAACTAATTCATAGAGACATTCGGTAAATATACGAGAAAAACAAACATTGAAAGCTTAACACTTGACTAATTGAAATGGCAACTGTGGAGAACTTGAAAACGTTTGAAAGTTAAAACTCCTCTTTTCTGAGCAATAAATACACAGCACAGGCCATGATGCAGACTATGACAAATACATCTATTTAAAGAAGTTTCTTTTACTTTTCGTAGTAGAAAATTAAAAATAAATCTAGTTAAGATCGCCCTGGAATGCTGAGTAGCAACAGAGTAGCAGTAGCAATTTATAAACAGTCATATTTGTAACATAAAAAGGTGGTATCCAATTCTTGATTTTCACGGTATTGTATACGATACTTTATGATTTTTTCTCTCCTTCAATCTCTTAATTTCTCTCAGCGCTCTTTCACATCAGTGCAGTCCGGACACTGAACTCAACGATTCCATTCAGTTAATAGACCGCTTCTTCTATGCGGCTTTCTCTCTTATTTTTGATTTCCATGTCAAATTCCACGAGGCTTAACACCGACTTGATAACTAAGGCTTAGTGATCAAACTCCTTATTGTTTTGCAAAGCAGTTAGTTGAAGACCAACGAATATCTGCATAACGTTTTGATTGCTGAGATCATAAATCCGTTGCGACCGCACAAAACGAGGAATTAGGAAAAATAGCTAGTGAAGAACTGATCGACTAGAATCCACGCCCTCTGTTCTACCACCGACTCAACAAGTAGAACAATTTGCTAAAAATTAATCGTGAATCATTTGTACGTCGTTATACATTAGGAATTCAGCCTTTTTTTCTCCTTCTGTAGTCGTCAGTTCATAAAGCTAAACTTAGAGAAATTCTGTGTCCCACACGAACTTGGTACAGTGATGTATAATGAATATCTAATCATCCTTTGGTACATCAGTCACTTTGCCTAAACTCAAAAGTCAATTAACTGCCTTTCTTTATTAAGGCCTTAGCACGTCAGTGCAGCACCTTAGAGCTATATATAATCACCTTTCTGTCACTCACAAAATGTTTTTTCTCCCTTGATTCAGTTCAAGTGTTGTTTTTTTTGTTTTTTTTGTTTTTTTGTTTTTTTCGATTTTTCGATTTTCTGCCGTCCACAAAATCCAACAAGCTAAATTCCAATTTGATCTGTGAATTGGCCCATATCCTGACTTTGATATGAACAGCGCACAGGTGGTTTCAGGGTTCGAGCTGTGAGTTAGCCGTGCCCTGACTTAGATCAGCCCAGAGATTGTTTCAGGGTTCGATCTGAGCTTTCGCCATGCCCTGACTTAGATCAGCCCAGAGGTGGTTTCAGGGTTTGTTCTGTGAGTTAGCCATGCCCTGACTTTGATCAGCCCAGAGGTTGTTTCAGGGTTTGTTCTGTGAGTTAGCCATGCCCAGACTTAGATTAGTCCAGAGATCGTTCCAGGGTTGATATCATTGATAACTCACCTTGTCCTGTACATGAACATGTAGACCCAATAAACCCCACGATCAGCAGCACCACGAGCACAAGTGCAGTGACGGACACGACGAGAATCAAGAAGAGCACCAAATTACTCAAACAGGAATCTTTACCATTCTTT